ATTCCTCTGAGGTGCAGCAAGTGCCAGGTTCATGCAGGAAAGCACACAGCCCTTTGTGGCTATTGCTGGCATTGCTAGCTATTTGCTAGCAAAATGTCATGGGGGTGGCATAACAGGGAGCACCACTTTTAAATTCATCTAGTTAAATCATCCAACAAAGCAAGCTTTTGTTGCTGCAGCTTGCTAGCTCTCAGCTCAGATGATGCACTTCTATCATGAAATACATAGAAACCAAGGCACTGTTTATATTCCTCCCGAGTGTAAACACTGCACTCCAGACAGCATGCACATTAACTTCTGCAAGAACTTTCCAGTGCATAAAACAGCCCTGTGCTTAGTCATACTCAAAAAGGGTAAGTACTTTTTTGTCCTGAGGGGAAGCATGTAGCTTGCATGCTGGCTAGAAGGGAAAGAACAAAAATTTTCTTAAGATTTCGAGAGCTTACTTGATAGATCCTCTCTTGCTCTTTTTTAAGACCTGCCGTTATTAGAGCTCATTCTTGCCTCTCTAACACTGAGGAAGTGCTTATGTGGCAAGTGGTCAGTATATGGGATTCAAGCCTTTGCACATCTTTTTGAAAGTGTAAGAGAAGTGGCATTCTCCATCCTTACCTCCTCCCAGGTACTTCCCTCTCATTATGGGTGCTGTTTCTTCACAGTCTTATCTGAGGCGGTTATTAAACTGGAAAAATAGAAGTAAATAAAAATGAAAGCATTATTTTTGGAGTTGTTGGAAACACACAAAGGAGTGTTGGACCCCTGAAAAATAGCTGTCCCCTGATTTCAGTGTTTTCCAATTTCAGCAAAGCTGAATTCCTCCTGATAAATAAAAACATTCAAATACGTTAGCTTTCCACACAACATCAAAGGAAATGGCAAACGTTCTTCAATAACAAGCATTTCATGCACAAGAAAACATTTCTTAACCATAATTACAGAACTTTTTTTCCTTACTTTGTGGTTCATCTTCCAAGTTCAATGCTCATAGCAACAAAAAAATCCTATCCTTCAGGTGTTCTGAGGATGCTGATGACCTTTCACTCCCAGCTAAGCCAGCTGGAGCTGCTTGGTATATTCAGCAAGAAGTACCTTTTAGCTAATGCCTGTTAGATAAGAAGCACCTGAGTGCAAAACTGAAGCCGGTACACTTATGTACACCAAATTAGATTTAATAAAGCCAGCATCAAAAAAGCCTCACAAGCAAAGCTGGCCAATGTCATATGGGCTGAGAGAGCTCCCAAGAGCAGGAAACACAGGTGGTAAAGAATGTAAACTATTCTGCCATATAAGTATGTGTTGAAGTAGGCGGCAAGGCAAGGAAGTCCTGTGGCCAATATTGGGCATTCCAGAGCAACTAATAGCATTGCAGTTGTTTATTTTGAAGGAAAGAGCAAAGCAGATCACTATCTGCCTCCATTTTCCTTCCCACTTTTTATTTCTTTAGCCTTTCTCATTGCACGTTTGTACAGCATGCCACTACCATTGGGCTCTGACCTTACCTGGGATCGACAGCCTCTGGCACACAGGCACAGCTGTGAATTAGCAGCCAGAGCACATTTGCTTGGGGCGACAGCAGATATGTTATGGTGAACTCCTCCTGGGCCAGGGAGGGGTGCAGGAAAGAAGAGCAGAAGGTGCACAGTTTCTTGCAAAGGACAAAGACAAAAGCAGTCCTTTTCTCTGCATCCCTTTGTTTTGTTTGTTTGTTTGTTTCTCTTCTATAATTTCTACAGCTCACTTGGATCTTAACAGTCAAGCACTCATAAGTCTTGCCAAACTGTTTGGCATCTTTATATACAATGCTAAGGCTTGTGTAGCACAAAGAGCCAAAAATATTAAGAAATATAGTATTTTGTGATGTACATAATGACTTATGGCTTACAGTTTCATAGTACTCAGAAACTGCCACATCTGGAAAACCAGCATTAGAAATGCACACGCTGTCACTGAAACTATGACATGTACATCCAAACATGAACCTCAGTCCCTCCACAGATTGTGGGATTACCAACCAGTACTGCTTGTGGCTTGTGTCCCCCAAAACTCTTCTGCAGCTTTGGGGTGGCAGGGCACATCCTTCCAGTTGCCCAAATTTGGAACAAGGCCCCTACATTCTGCAACTTCCCAGATCTTTCCTGGAAATGTAAATTTAATCTGAGTAGCTCAAGGGACCAAGAAGAAGGGGCAGAAAGGAAACCTTTAATGGCTGTGTCTGTTTCAGCTACCAGACTGTGCTCTCTGTGAATTAACAGCAGACAGACTGGCAGATTTTCTTTCCTCCCTCCTCATTTTGTTAAAAATAAAATAAGCTAAAAAGCACTAAGCAATTCCATTTGGCAGCTGTAGAGTGGATAGTGAGCATAAAGAAGAGATTCCTTTGCTGTGCCTAATAGATGCTGCTTATCCAAATTAGCCACACAATTACTTCTATCAATGCAAAAATAGTTTAATTTTTTTTTTTTTTCTAGTGCACAGCACTCGAGAACAACTTAAAATGCAGTGTAATTTGCCACAGTGTACGTCCTGAAGTGGCTCGCTAATGAAAAGAGGATTAACTCTCCATTATTCTGAATTACCATTTTGTGAAATCACTAACAATATTTTCACTTATACACATATAAGCCAAGGAGGGGAAATATTTCAACCATCCAAATGATTAACAAATAAAATCCATTAGATAACATGCACTTTAGTCTTATTTATGAAGAACAAGATTGGGGTATAAAAATGCAGATGACTGAATTTTTATCATCCTTGTTCTGATTTTACACTTAAGTCCATGACAGCATAATTGGTGAGCAGCAGTGGTGCAGCATTACTTTCAGGATCGAGAAGCAGAACCTGCAAAATGAGACAGGCAAATTGCACTGGCTTAAGAAGGTGCCCTGGTCCCAGAGTGGCATCCCTGGCACACAGCTGAGGACCAGCACTGTGAGGAGGGAGCCGGGAATCCCTCACACAACAGGGCCATCCTCACCCCAAAGAGCTTTCACTCCTGAAAGTATGTCTCCAGCACCAAGTGGGGCCTTCCAGCCCACAGTGTGCACAGCCTGTGGTTGGGACCTGCTTCAGGCAGCCCTGGAACCCCTTCACACCAGCTGAACACCTGTGGGGACCCAGTGCCCTGCAAAAGGCACTCGAGGCTTTGCTGCCAGGGCTTGTGTTGGGCCAGTGGTCACATTTATATCCACCACAGTGCCAGAAATCCTGACACTGCCCTTCTTTTTAGTCTAAGAGGGCTGGCCTACAGAATAGTCTCCTCTCAGCTCTGTTTGGTCTACACAGAGCAGTCAATAAGAACGAAGTGTTATAACTGATTTCTGGAAAGATGCAAACCTTTCTGTCCTCCCCAACCAAATGCTTCACGGTAATTCATTCCAGAGCTCAAGCAGCACATCAGCCCCTTTTCCCCCTCTTCCCCTCCTGTGAAATTCCACTACTTTACACTTAGTGTACAGTTAGATCTGAAATATTTATTTTATCAGAGGAATTTTCAGCTGATGCTTGTGCTTTAATTCAATTTAAAAATCCCTGCAGAAGATAACATTGGCAAGGAATAAAGAACATAAAATTCAGGGAGCTTACGGCTTCCCAGGACACAGAGATGAGCATTTCTCAGCAGAGCTCTAACTTGCAAAGCACTGACAGACCTATAGACTGAGTCGGTTTCACGTAGTCACAAAACAAACGTTTGCAGTGTAGCTGTCACATTTTGAGGTCTGCAATGTAAGAGCAGGGCTACATACAGGGTGTAATGAACACTGGACATAATTACTAATCTAATTTATTTCTCTTCTTCCCCTTATTTTATGGAGTTCTGAATAAAAAGCTCTCAGTCCCTCAGCATCAAGGCTCTCATGCTAGGATCACTTCTTACGAGACAGTCTCTCTTATGTTCTAGATAGCAGTCCTGCCACTCCCAAAGCCCAGCATTCTGCCAGTCCATTATTACTTACTTCACTGAGTCTGCATACAGAGTCAGCATGATCTGAAGGAAGGAGGGCTTTCCTAGGGAATGGCTCCTGGAGGCACAGGAATGGGACCTCACATTGCTTGAAGGCATACAGGACGGAGTACAAGGCAATAAACTAGGAATTAATCCTCAGAGCCCCTTATGCATCTCAGAGGACCACTTAGCTAAACATCATCACATTTTAGAAAGCTCAGCTGAAAGATAGATCCCCTTGCCAGTGAAAGTAAGCCAGTTTTTGAACAAAGGTGTACATATGCCAGACAAAAACTGACTCCACAATCTTGCCTAGCTCTGGAGTTGAAAAATGGGGATTATTTGGCTTTAGCAAGTTCTGCTGAGAAACAGAACATGACAGGCACAGAAGAGTTTAAGCCAAGGAACAAAACCCTCTGGGAACGTGGGATGTCAGTGAAAAATGGTCCTCTTGCTTGCAGAAATGCTCTACGAATAGCCAGATTGTGCCTTGTCTGGAAACAGACACAAACAGGACCAGTGAACACCACACAAAAATATGTGGGAGTCGCTACTCTCCCTGCAAATTTTTCTTCAAGATGTCAAAAACTTAGAAACAAATTACTGGAGAACCTCTTGACCTAAAGACACCCAACACATTGTATGGGGATGCCATCTGCCTTCCCTGTCTCCTGCAGCAGCACTGCACCTGTATGGATCCAGGTTAAAAAAGGGAAAAAAAAAAGAAAAGTAGTGAGCCTGGAGAAGATGAAGTCCTTGAGCCCACCGTCGTTAAGGAATCATTTGTCAATCAGTGGCTGCAGGAGAAGTGCTGCTAATAGGCAAAGCCTTGCTCCCAGAAATAGCCTACAAGGTTCACTGTGCAGGGCTGCATTAAGATCTTGAAAAAGAAGAACTGGTGTGCTGAGCAACCACCTGATACCTGCTTACAATGTGCCCCAATGCATCTGGCCAGTGCTGCTCCGAGCGCTGAGTAGAACTCACAGGCTTTGTGCTTCCTCATCTTAGTGTTCTGTTTGCGTTGTGTTCCAGGCTCCTGCACGGCCCAAGCTCCATGGAGAAGATGTCATCAACAGGTTTGAACGCCGGGAAGAAAAATGCATACACAGCAATCAAAGTGGATCCTGATGGGGATTACTGTACCCCAGGTGCTTTTGAACTGGAGCGGCTCTTCTGGAAAGGATGCCCAAAGTACACTCATGTCAACGAAGTCTGGCCCAACCTCTACATAGGAGATGAGTAAGTGTTATCGGTACCTCTGCACAGATGATGAGTAAGCTCATGAAGTACATCTCTATATAGGAGATGAGTAAGCTGCGCTAAGTGCAGTCCGTAAACAGCTGAGCAGTTTCATTTCTCCTCCTACCCTTTAGCAAGTCTTTATCAGTAATGCCTGTTTTGATGTGCTACTGACAGCTGCCAGAGTTGGCAGAGCACCCTGCTGCCACAGTCCTTCCTGAACACCGGCACACAGCTCAGGATGCTGCTGCTTCAAGGAAGCACTGGTCAGGTGCACAGGGGCTCACAGCTAAAATGGGGCCACAGAGCTGTCCTGGAACTGGTATGGTCTTCTCAAGTTAAAGTCAGTCATAAATCATTTCAGAATCGCTCAGTAACCTGCCATTTATCTCCATATGAAAGTCTCTTCATAGTTACTCTGACTGAAGGGCACTGTCTAGACCTGCTGTACCACAGCTTCAGTTGGTTTGAAACTAAAATGTAATTTTTGAAAAGCGACTGAAGAGTCAGCTGAACCTGCTGCAGTGTTTCTGTGCTTCCAAGCCTGTTCTTGCGTACACAGAGTGCTCTGCATCTCCAAATTGCTCCAGAGATTAAAACAGATGGTAGCCTGTGGAAGGGCAAAGCTGCAGAGTTGTGTCTCACTGATCACACCAAATACGACTTTGGGGAGAAAAAAAACAACACAAAAAAACAAAAAACCCTAACACCCAAGCCTGCAAGATGGACTTAGCACTGCAGAACACAGGACTAAGCTGAAACAGGCTATTCTGACACAGAGCCAACTGCTGCAGCAGGCAGGCCATCAAAAAAACCCCAAACCAAACCCTGAGCAGAGCAAGAGAGTTTTCTTACCCCTTAGGCACTATTGGTACACTTCCCATTTTCCTCAACACCCTTCCCAAACATGACATCTACTTTACATCATCACCGTAAGGCACAAGCAGCAGTCCCACTGACTCCAAAGCTCTCAATAATTTTTTAAAAGGTCCTAAAATTCATCTGTTGCCAGCTTATAAAACGAAAGATATACAATCTTGGAAGTTACGAGGCTCCTAATATCATCGACCAATTACTTCTGTGGCGCCAGAGGCAATAGAAAGACACACGAGATCTGGGCTTGAACCAAGTAGTGGGCTGTCACTTGAAGGGAAAAAAAAAATCTTATGCTTGCTCAAGAAAAGGGAAAATGGGTTTGAGTTGTCTTCCTCCTATCCTACCCTGCCACTCATTAGATATTTCTATTCAGTGATTACAGCATTTTCTTCTGGCATTAATTCCCTACTTGGTCATTCAGTTGTCAGCATTATTCTGAATGAAGCGGTTAGAAGAATTTGCTTTGTACCTCTGCGATGAAGCTACAACTCTGCCCTCTGAACAAAGAGGAACAACAGTTCTCTGCACAGTCTCCAAGTTCAGACACTGCCCACCAACTGTCTTTCCTGCAGCTGTTCCTGTAACAGGGACTTGTTACACCTTGCAATGGCATCAACTCTAAGAGGTGTTGCTGAATAAAATACACACCTTCACTTGGTGCAAACTAACCAGAGAAAGCAAGCGTCTAGTGCCAACAGAAATGAAAAAAAGAATTGGGAAATAGGTGATGAGGAGAAATAGAAGTAAGGCTTTGCAGGAAATGGGGTTCCCAGCAAGAGGATGACTATCATCAGCCAGGGCTGATGAAAATAATGCTAAGGACAAATGTGATGTCCAGTATCAGAAAATCTGAGACGAGAGCTGGTCTGCAGGCAAGATGCAGCTCTCATGACCAGAACACGCATTTGATTTTAAGCAGGCAGCATCCAGACACCATTACTATCTTTCCTCAGCTAGCTTACTCCTGATCTTACTCCTGATCAACAGCTTTTCCTTCAGAATGGCAGGGGTTTTGCATTATTTTTAAGATCTCATTGTAGCACTGGTTGCTGAAGAGCTGCCACGGAGACGTGAACAGATGTTGGGTGTATTTGCATCCTTAGCCATGCTAAATTAAGGTTGATCTTAAAAGAATTTAGTGGAACTCATCAACAAAATCAAGTGAATACACACAGAGTTTATCCACAGAGCCTCTACATCTGTGCTTCATTCCTGTCTCCTGCATTTACAAGGTTAACAGGACTCGCGATGCTTATGGAAATGCTAATTAATTACCCTGACTACATAACCACATCTTCCATCTAATGCAACACAGACTATCGAGGAGCCCTGTGAGGCCACTCAGTGCCTTTGTTACAAGACTTCACTGCAGATGTTGCCCAGAGGCAATGAAATCTCCACGAGCCTGTCAGGCCCAGAATAATCAAAGCCTCAAAATATAACATGCTGCGTTCAGCTCCAATTGAAATTTTCCTCCAGCAAGTTCCAAGGACTTTTAAAGACCACGCACTGGAACTTGCAGGAGACAGCCCAGTGATAGTAATAAAGCATGCTTTGCCAAGATTTTGATTTATTTGCTACCAAGATTAGTGCTTGCCTGTGTCTTCCTTGTGTCCAGACGCCTTCTGAAGAGACAGAAAAGCATCTCTTGTCTTGCTTCCTTCTCTCAGTGGTCACTAGGTTGCATGGGCAGTTTTACTGACTAATCTCAAGCCTGCTTGGTTCACCACAATCTCATAGAAAGTCTCTCCCAGAAACACAGCTTCTAGTTTCTCCCATGTGTCTTTTCTGCAACTGCGTTTTTGCCCAAGGTGATGTTTGTGATTCCATATTTCTTAATTTGAAAGAATGTGTTAGCCTAAGGCCTCCTATGACTGTGATTTCCTCTTAGCCACCCTCTAGCTCTCATTAGGATTTTAGGTGTGATCACAATTTCAAGTCTTACTGTGCTCCCAAATTACTCCTAGGAAGCGTTCTGAAGACTAATTCCTCATAGGTTAAATATGAAAGACCAATTTTTCGTCAAATAGCTGAACTGGGCTCACACTTCAAGAGAGTGAATGTCTGTGCTTCTTTCTGGAGAGGTTCAGGGCTTTTGATTTTGAGAAGTAATACAGGTGAAGTTCAATAAAACATGCAGGTAGCTCACATCTACAGACTGAAGCCTATGATAACTGATATACGTAACTAAAATTTAAATACTGGCTTTCCCCATGCTCTCCCCTCTTTCCCCAGAAAAAGAAAAGAAAGATTTCCAAGTGAGTAAGTACAAAGACAATTTATGCTGATCTAGAAGAAAACAGATGGGGCTCACTCAGAGTAACAAATAGTTACCTCCCACTAGTTCGCACTATGAACTTCTAGGACTTATAAGATATTAATCATACAAAAAACAGGAGTGCATGTACATTTTATAACAATACTCACAAGGACATAGTTTCAACTCTGTTAGAATGGGAATCTGCCAATTTTACCAGAAGTTAAAATCCAAATCAGATCTGTAACACTGGACAAAAAAACCTCTTAAAGCACCATTTCCAAGACAAGTAACACTTGTCATCTACCCTTCTGGTCTTCCCAAGGCAATATCCCAGGATGCAGATAATTTCTAGCACTTGATGTGGCACAGAAGTGACCGAAGCCAACTTCAGTCTAGGAGCTGGCATGATACTTTTGCTATATAGAAAGCTGAGAGGAATTTCCTTTATCTGTGTTGCATCACTTGCAAAAACACACATATGCAATAAAAATAAAAAAATAAAAAAATAAAAAAATCCACCATTTGGAAATAGAGGAAAATGAACTGCTAAATCTTTTCCTTTACAAGTTATGAAGATCTTGTTCAGTACTTTCAGTGGTAACAAAATTCTTCTAATTCACACTGAACAGGAGGTATCCACAGAAACAGAGCAACACCTCAGAAGGAAAAGGGGATACAACGCTCCACCATCGCTAGATTCCTTCTAGTGCTAGAGTTACCAAAGGAAATTGGGTCAGTATTATTAGAAATTCTCAACATCTCTCCTCAGCAGGGAGAACTGCCAGATTTTCTTTAAAAAAGAAAAAAAAAGTGTCAGTGTTGCCTGTATTCAGGAAGCTTCTTTCTGACACTGACCATCTGGTACGATATCATCCTGCATCAAGCATTCTAAAAACACGGGAAAGTTTGAGAAGGACGATTCCTCTTCTAGTAACGTGTTGCCTCAGATTTCCTTCTGTTTTGTCAATCTGGGTCACGTCAATCTATGGGCTTTCACAGCCTATACTGAAACATGTTTGCAATGCTCAACCTTCACATGAAGATTAAGAGACTTGGCTCTACTTGCAACTCACAAACACACACACCAGTTGTAGTCAGCCAGCACCAGCTATGAAGAGCTGACTTACCTGTGGAGTGAGCTGCTCTGCCCACTTTACTCATGAGGAGTCTTGCAGGATTCCTTCCCTTCTTTTAGATACAGCTGGGTTTTCGTCCTGAGCCACCTTCTCTTCTCTTTGTTAGCTGCTGACAAATACTTCATACTTCAGATGAAGGCGCCTGAAAGTTGTTTTTCCCTTTCTTCCAACTCTGATGGTTTGAGCATCTTCCTGACGGAAGCAGCCAGGCTCCAGCTTGTTAATGGCAGTATTTGAAAAAGACAGGAAAGGGATTTGGTACGCAGGAGACGATAAATTAAAAGGAAGAATTTTCTTTTACATTATAGCTAGTTAGGTTGTTGCTTCCAGAATGCTAAATTTACTATGGTGCTTGCTCACACGAAAAACTTGTGACCATCTTCACTTTAAAACTGACAGTGGGCACAGTCATGCCTCGCGCAGACCTTTACCTGCCCTTGCACAGGCTAAAAGATGTAAATATTCCTTTGGGAACCGTCTCCAAGTAGATGACATTTTTGTTTGGGCCAGTCGCTCCCTCTTGGTGATAGTCTAATATTACGAATATTTCCCCATGTGAAAGTTACTTTCTCTCTCATTTTCTTTATTTAGGTGGCATTCCCATATTGAAGCACTCCCCCTTGCCTCAGAACTTTAAAAACATTTTATGAGTCCATCTGTCCTACAGTAAATGCAGGGTCTGATTCAGCAAAGCACTGAGCTTTTGCTCACCCCGCTTTGCTATCCAGAGGGAGACTTATGGGTGTGTTTAACTTTTAGCATATGTTTATGTGCTCTGAATTAAAGAGCTAATGAGTTTTTATATGGGACCAATCTGCCTGGTTCATCTCTTACTAAACTGAATTATACTGAAACTTTAACTGTTATCTCTCAGTGCCACACTTCACCTCCTTTGCGTAGAAACACATTCAGGGCAAACACTGGAGACTGCAGCTCCACAGTGTAAGAGGAAATCAAGTGCCAGCAGCACAGATGGTGACAATGGACAAAATGAAAGCAATTGAAAGAATATTCAAATGTTATGGCTTCACCCATGCTGACAATTGTAGCAAACTTCTTTGCAATGTCTACTTTAAATTCAACTACTATCACTAAAATGGAAATATTAGTTGTATTTTATTAGGAAATAGCAGCACCTGAAGTGGAGAAAAGAATAGTCTTAGCTTGACCATTGAAGTCTGGTACTGAGCAAGGGAAAAACCTCCACCATTTTCAGCTGAAAGTGAATTAGAAATCCCCCCAAAAGGTATTACAATTCATACAACAGTCTCTGAGTGATCCCATGCTATTAGTTACCTCAGCTAACTGAACACCTGTAGATATCAAAGCTTGAGCTATTCCTTCTGTTCATCTAAAATAATGCCTCGGGCATTGTGAAATCTGCAAGGAAGATCAGAAGCGTTCCTTCCCATCCCATGCTGGATGTAAACAAGAGTATCAGGCAAAATGAAACAACAGCAACAATGGCTGTGGTCAGAATAAACAGGCAGTTAAGTCTACTTCCAGAATGGTGCTACACAACAGATTTGGCTGAGGTTGGAAAGCAAAACCATGCTACACACAAGGTCAGAGATCACTGAAGGGCTAAAGCCAGTACAATCAAACACATCAAGAGGCACAACCACATCCTGCATTTACAAGTGTATGGGCCTCCCTACAACTTGCCAGCCATTTTCTAGCTCTCTGTTAAGTGGCAGTCAACATGCAGCAGACACAGCAAGACCTCAAGTTTAACAGCCTATATAATGGTGGTGTCAGCCACAGTACGTGTTTCCCCTGCCCCACAGCTCTTATTTTCACTGTACCATAGCTGACTGCCTAGGCAGTTAGCAAAGGACAGTATCCCTCATTGTGAACACCTTTTAAAACAGTGGAGGACACCGAACTCTTAAAAATAAGATTCTGAGCCACAGAACAAGACTAAGCAAGCCTGTCAGAAACAAATGCATTAATTGCACTTACTATAACAAAACGCAATCTCCAAAGAACCTAATCAAAGCAACAAGAAAATTGGACTCCAGATCAATGTAGTGGTGTCAAACTTAAATATGATTGCCATGCAGCCTACTCTTTGGCATTGCCCTTGATCAGTACCACTTCATCATTTAATTCAAATCCTACACATTAGTCTAAGAAGTGCTTGCAGAAGCCAAGTTTGGTAGTATCTACAGCCTATCAAAAACTTCATCCACTTTTTCATTGGCCTTAACTAGGATGCAATTCAACTCTACGTTCAATATTTAAGGTCTCACTTGCAGCTGTTCCAGTGGGGCACGGTTCTCACCTGGGAACATCAGTCTTTCACTGTTGAATTCATGCTTTCAGCTAAATATGGTGTATGGAAAGCATTTTCTCCATCCAAGTATCAGGTGGAGTCAATTTAAAGCCATTCTGAGCTGTCACCTCCAGAATTATGAAACACAACAGGTAGCACACAATGACATCTTGTGTGACAGAAGCTACACTTACACATTGAAATGCTCACAAAACATTCACAGGGAGAAGTATTTTTGGTTGGAAAAAGCAGTTTTTCATTATGTACTAATTCATCTATGGCAGCAGTAGTTAAGTGAAAATATATTAACAAAATAAAGCAGATACCTTTTTTATTTTTTATTTTTTTCAAGTTTAGTAGCCCTTCTATACGCTAATAAAACTTCACAGCTTTTACCAAAGAAAACCTTCTAAAATTAGAAGCCTTCTTCAACAGAATTTTCCAAACAAAATTAATTTTACATAAGCAATGTAATTTTTGAGAAATTCCAGGCTGCCAACAAGCACATACAGTGGGTACTGAGCAAACAAAAACACTGGATTCTCTCTCCTGTCTCACATCCCTTATCCAAGGGAAGAGAGGACAAAAATAAAGTGTGATATTAAGCCAAATGTATGATGCTCAGCTTTCACTGAACACTGATGTCTGATTTCATATCTTCTTTTTGCTTTAGATCTCTGATTTAACTCAACAAGACAGTAAACAAATCTGACAGGGTGCTGTGACCATAGGTAGGGAGTTTCTTTCTGCTGTTTGTTCTTACGGATAAATTGAGGGGAAAAAGCTTGGTAACTTCTCTTAGAAAAGAACAACTTCTTTTTGAATCCCAGATGATCTTACTACTCACTTATTACTGACTCTTTCATTAGCTCTGCAGTATCAAATGATGGGAGAGAAGGGGAAAGCAGCATTCACGAAGTCCTATTTCAAGTTGTGCCACTGATTTGCTTTTACAACTTGAAATAATTCATTCTATTTCTTTCTGTATCTCAAGTTTCTTCTTGTATAAGATGGACAGAAGCTGGTTTTGCACGCATTACAAGGGTGCCAGGAAAACATTCGTTTTTAAGGTGTTCTGAGTGTCAGGCAAAGATAAGTATGGACTACAGAGGGATCATTCTCCAGAAGTGACAATATTTGACAGCCTTTACAATGACAAATGATGCATTTTCAAACATCATGAGTTTCAATACCGTATGCCAAATCATAATTTTTGTTGTTGCTTTCCTTGTCATTTACAAGACTGCTGTTTTGTTTTTTTTTTTTTAAACAGGAAAACAGCATTAGATCGCTACAGCCTTGAGAAGGCAGGCTTCACTCACATCCTCAATGCAGCTCATGGTCAGCGTAACGTGGATACGGGACCAGAATATTACCAAGACATGACTGTGGAGTACCATGGAGTGGAAGCAGACGATCTTCCCACTTTCAATCTCAGCCAGTTCTTTTATTCTGCTTCTAAATTCATTGACAATGCACTTCAGGATGAAAGAAGTAAGGAGGGTGCTGAAAATGGTTAAAAACAGGACACTGTTTGCCTCATCTAATACAAGCATAGCTCACAGCATCCAACTCTGTGAGAATGAAACAAGTCCAATACAGGATAACAAGGAATACCAAGTCAGTAGCATGGAACTAGTTGTTTAAGAGAAGATAGTGATGGTAACTGCACATGGGACCTTTCTCAGTGCAGAGCTAGCAGCAGCTGAACAACACCTACACTGATCAGTTTGACAGAAGTCCACATAACAGGCTGCATTAAGGTTTCCTGTCAGAGAGGTGTTCTGTTGTTTTTCTTTTTTGTTGTTGTTGATTTTTTTTTTCCTTCATAAACAGCTCAGACACAATCAGAGATTGAATAGGTTCCTTGAATTAGCTGTCTTTTTTCTTAAATTAGACCCCACTAAGAAAAGGGGTGTTCTGCAGAGGCTCCAAGCTGCCACTCCACTGCTTCATTTTCTACAAATACAAAACCCACCTTCCTACCTGGCCACCACATCCACCCCAAGCTGCAGCAGACTTGTCATATAAGGAGCAGCCGGGGATGGAAAAAACTCTTGACAGCAGAGATGTCAAAATATTTCATTAAAGCCTTTGTAATTTCTCAGCTTGATTACCAGAATCCATTATTTGCTGACCTGCAGCAAAGCTCTATCAGAAGGTTTTATAGTGCTGAAGGGCTACAAAAGCCTAGGCCTCACTGGCTTTCAAGGTCACTTCCACCCCTTTGCCTCTTGCTCTCCCCCTGTGCCCAAAACTTTTTAAAACATTCTCAACAGGCTATTTTACCAAAAAACAGCAGAGTAACTTCAGATTTCCAGCTACAAAGACCTTAATACCAAAGGGTCACATATCAAGTTTCCAGTCTCCTGTCAGCTTCTGTCCCTGGCTGTTAAGCTCAGGTGCAGCAAGCTGTTACCTGGCTCGCCTCTAAGAACCAGCCAAGACTTTACAACTTTAGCCATTCAGCAAGTACAGTCTACAGCAACAGTCTCTTCTCTTGTTCAAGAGAAAGTCTTGAAAGCAGATGTTTTAAAATCAAAGTCCAAATAGCTGGAGAAACTGCTTCAGGAGCTGACTTGAGAAGAAAGGTAGCTGGCATTTCAAACAGTCTGTCTAAAGCAGTGCCTTTGGGAAGGACTGGGTAACTGTATCACATCTGTGTCTAGCCATGGCCGGAGGCCAGAGGTCACCATCAGACTGCAGTAGCTGAAATAAGAAATGCAGATTTCCTCACCCCTGTACCTCTCCTATTCCTGTAACATCATTGCCTGCCACACTGAGGGAAAGAAGCAAGAACGAGGCAAGGCTGCAAAACCTACAAAATACTTGAAACTCAATATGTAGGACTTGGGTTCAGTATTAGGTGCTAAACACTTCTGATCAGTAACAATTACATCCATTAAAGTCATTTGTTACTTTGCATCAGAGATCAAGAAATGCAAACAGAGAGGAAAAGGAAGAAAGATTTTCTCCAACAGGACAGAAAATCTGGTAATTTTCCTGCTGCCACAATAACTCTAATGTAATAATTCTGGCTAACTTCAAAATCTTTGTGATGGTGAAAGGCTCCTTCATCAGAGCAGTATTAGCAGACTTTGAGCATGGGCAGATGGATTTAAGATGAAAACAGGTGAGGAAGATGATTCTGCCCCTATACTCTGCTCTCATGAAAGCCCACCTGGAGTACTCCATCCAGTTCTGGGGTCATTGAGCTGCTAGAATGGGTCCAGAGGAGGACCCACTCTAGGGCCATGAAGATGATCAGAAGGCTGGAGCACCTCCCCTCTGAGGATGAGCTGTTAGAGTTGGGGCTCCTCAGACTGGAGAAGAGAAGGCACTGGGGGGACTTCATAGCAGCCTTCCAGTACCTGATGGGGGCCTACAGGAAAGCTAGAGAGGGACTTTTTATAAAGGCATGTAGTGATAGGACAAGGGGAAACTGTTTTAAACTGAAAGAGGGTAGATTTAGACTAGATATTGGGAAGAAATTCTTTACAGTGGGAGTGGTGAGATACTGGAACAGATTGCTCAGTGAGGTTGTGGATGCCCCCTCCCTGGAAGCATTCAAGGCCAGGCTGGATGGGGCTTTGAGCAAACTGGCTTAGAGGGAGGTGTTCCTGCCTATAGCAGGGGGGTTGGAAATAGATGATAAACATTCCTTCCAACCATTCTATGATTCTGGATTCTATGAAAACACCTTCTGTTTGCAATCATGCAAGCTATCCTTCAGCTGTGCTTAAGGATTTACCAAAATACAGAATTCAGACCTTCAGACAGCTTACAATTTTATACCAGGGAGACCTGGTTACCATAACGGAAGGCACTATTTTAAGATTTCTGTAGTATTCATTCTCTTGGTGTCACAGTTTCTCAAAAAGCAAACTGGACAAGAACACCATTTTTTTTTTCTTGCAAAGAACATCATGGGAAAAACAAGAACAACACATTACACATGGAGATTAAAAAAAGGCAGTGGAGAAGAATTACACATAGATAGAAAGACCCAAAGCATTTGACCACAGAAATATCAGCATTTACTATTCCATCTGGCTCTGGAAAGTGAAAGCTGCATCTAGACAAGTTTTTGAAGAAGCACAAGCCCAAACTCCAAGCAAAGCAACCAGAGTAATTTGGCGCCTTGACTCCACTCAGCAGAACTCTGGCTCCATGGGGTTCCATAACCCTCAAAGTGCCACTAAGTATAACAGGCCAAAATCAGACAGACTACAAGAGTGGATTCCCTCTTTAATAAAGAGGACTTGCGTATTTTTTTTTACATCAAAACTAAAGAGACTACACAATAGCACAGAAGGCACACAGCTCTGCAGAATGACATCATTTTGCTGTAAGAGGCAGTCAGATTTTGAACATACACAGGAAAGCAACATCTTAACTTTCGTACAACTAGAAGGCATTTCAGAAAATTCTATGGCCATTTTTTTGCCTTAGTTAATATATGAAAATGCACATTTTCTCCGAGATCCCATTTCCCACCCACACAAAAGCAAAGCTTCCTTGTTCTATCTCAACAACCATTTACAAGGTAGGAAGTTCTAAAGATAAGCATGAGGAGCTGAACAAGTAATAGTTTTCATCCGTTTCAAATATTTGGAGTAATAATAGAAGGGATTATCATTTTCCAAGAGAGGGAGAGGCACTTACAGTTATCAGAGAGACTGGAACTTTGCCAAGATGCTTCTAAGACTATCTGCTGGGATTAGGATGCAGACTGTAACCATTAATCCTTTAGTGTTGGCAGTTCTTGTTGCATCCATTACACAGCAATGCTACTTGTGCCAACACATTGTCTCGTGCCTGGAAGCAAAGGAGTTAATCGGCAGGAGTCACGGCTTTGCACCCAACACTTCTTACAAGGCAGAACTGATAGAGAAAATGTTATTGGCCCTGACAAGTTTTTTGTTGCTGTTTTTGTTTGTTTGTTTGTTTGTTTGTTTTTTTAGTTCATTTTATTTTCCTGTGGCAATTTAGCTTAACAGAGTGTTAGAGACACCATTCCAAACCTACCTCCTTCAGCAGTTCAGCCCTTTGTGTGACCCCCTAAGGGCTTTGAATCATTTCTGGAAATTTTTTGAAGAGTTTCCAAGCCCGTTAATCAGATCCGAACCCACTTTCTACTTGCTTTCTCCACCTCCCTAAACATGGCAAATGAGGAAGGCTGTATCCCTGCCAGCACCTGGAAACAGACTTTTGCCACTAGAAGCCTGAAGTTAAAACCAAGCAAAGTCATAAAGCTAAAACAACTCTCCACAGATAAAAGACTATTAGCAGAGACTGCATTTACAGTACAGGCCACTGCTGCAAGGACACAATTCTATAAAAGAGGGAGTTACACAGTGGGTTGACAAAAACATGACTTGAATTCCATTCAGGAGTGACTAGCCAGAGAAGATTTCTAAATAAGCTTTTCTAGAGTTTAAGAAGTGGTTTTCTTCTATCCACATGGTAGTCTAGTAATGCCTTCCACTCTCAAAATAGCACTAACCCCTGTCAGCAATGTTTTACACATCAAATACTTGGGCCAAAGTAATGCGACTCAGATCTTGAAGGAAAATGGTATAAGACAAAAAGAATATTTTTTTTTGTCAGTTTTTATCTCTAGCTCATAGTAACGAGAAATGCACCTCCCTGTATTCCATTTATCCTCATGAAAGGATGGTTTGATAGCACAACAAACCCTCCCACACCTCTGTGATAAATACAAGGCGCAGTTGGGCTTGCTTTGTTATTTGAAGCAAGGTCCCTAGAGCTTCTCTGCAGCAATTGTTTACAAATAAAAGCAAAGATAACTGGTTTAGGATTAAACAGGCAATTTTCCACAAAGATTGTGTTCTGCGTTGATGTACTACAGAAATACTTACCATAGAAAGACTTAAGCTCAGTTTCCCAACCTGTAAAAAAATAGATCTTACAAAAGATATCAGTAAGCATAGTCAAGCCTCCAAATGGAGCAGGGACACTACAGAAAACTTCACTGTAAGAAAAAGAAATCTGCCACCATCTTCTCTGCATCATATTTCTTTATTTCCACAGACAAGGTCCTCGTGCACTGTGCTATGGGTCGCAGCCGGTCAGCCACATTGGTCTTGGCTTACCTGATGATTTACAAGAACATGACAGTGGTGGATGCCATTGAGCAAGTATCACGGCACCGATGCATTCTGCCAAACAGAGGCTTCTTGAAGCAGCTGAGAGAACTGGACATAGCATTGGCACTGCAGAGGAGAAATACCAAAAACAGCCTACCGTCCAACGACGATGAGAACAGCATGACAACCTAGTATTGCTCCTGGCAGGGTTGTGCTACTGGAAAATAAACTCTATAAAAGGAAGGGAGGAAAAGCTGTAGTTAATCACACAGTCACAAGGCTTGTTTGTTATCTAGAAGAAAGAATATTGAAATCACTTCAAATGCTGTCAGGATGGGAAAGAAAAGCAGTCAAATTTAAAACCTATCACCTTAAGATATTCTAACTTTAACAGAAATCTCAACATTAACAAATCTTCCCTCTATAAAATGTATCCAGCACAAAACCAGGCGTAACTTAAATGAAAACATCTGAGTACCCCTAAAATCCTGATCCTAGTCCAAGTATCTGACCTTTAAAACAGAGAAACTAGCAATTCCTGAAGAGCTTTTGCAGGAAAAATGTTGAGATAGTTGCAACACAGACAAATTGTTTAGTCCCATAGTCCTGAAGAACTTCCCAGAAGTTTGTCTTTTATGTTCTTTCCTGGCACTGCCATTTCTTCACATAATCTAAGAGCAGCACAGTGTTTAGAGAGCCTCCAAACAAGTCTTCACAACGGACTTTGCAGCAGAATATGCATACTAGAAACAAAGCAAAATCCTTGATAAGATCAGATGCATGAACAAACACAATGGGTAACAGTTCAGGCAGATACACACACGTCATCTTAGCAGCTTCATTTCCAACTTGCCTTTCCTAAAACTCAGGTGGCTGAACCCTATAAGTCCAACACACACATTACCCAACTCAATTTATTAGGTCACACACAACCCCCTCCTCTCAAAGAGAAGACCCACCACACTGAGAAAATTATGTTTTGTGACTTGTTTTCTTCTGCTTCTGACAATACACAAGAAATATACCACGTCCTTGATATTGCTACAGAGAAGTTCCCATGGAACTCCCAAAGTCCTCTAAAAAATCATCAATTATAACCAGTTCTCATTAGATTTTAGTTACGCTTAATAAGACAAAAGATACAAATGAAGCCTTTAAAAAGCTATCTCTGTGTACTAATAAGTAGAAAGCTGCTGCTGTACCTCCAGACACTACTAACAAATATTTACTTACAAGTTAGCTTCAATCATCCTAATACATTACTGTGCTCAAAAGCAATTGCTAATGTTATTTATTGACAGTAGTCCAACTATGCAAATGGAGATGCCAGATCTACTTTTCCACCTTTAGTTATTGAATTTAATACATCAGTAATTGTGTTTAGACACAATAGGAGTTTTGTCACCTCAACAATACTACGCCTTAAAACATGCTATAGAGAGGGATCAAAATTGAACCACATTTACCTTTCTTGCAGCCATGAAAAGATTGTTATCACTCTCCCCATTGGAATTTTGTTTAATTCAGTGTATCGGTTACAAGTTATTCTCTCTCTTCTACCCCGCATGGTAGCTTGATGACTACTGTAACTGGAAGAGAATCTGTACCTGATTTGCATGCACAACTGAACACTAACAGGGTTTTCTGGAGCCTGGAGATAGGACATTCTTTGGCAAAATTGTGAAAATAGATGGGGAAAATTTTGATTTCCTGGCGGCTCTGCTGCTTTAAGGGGAAACTAACAGATCCTTTGAAGAGCAGTCCCCATCTACTGACCGGAAACAAAATACAAGAAAGCCATAAGTAGTTCCCAGTCATGTATCCTACACACAAGATTAGGAAATAGGCAAATAGCAACACTGATGTAGCAACCGAAAAATGTTGCTATAATTTCCAAAGGATGGGATTCCAAGCTACTCATAAATTAGGAGCTGTCATTCTAGCATGGAAATGAAAAGCAGCATGAGAAGGGGGAAAAAAAAAAGGAGATCAATAGAACCCCATATCCCATTATTTCTACAAGTACTGTGTAAAGGTGTTAAGCGTGATTTCCCAGAATGGCTGAGGTTGGCAGGAACCTCTGGGTCCATCTGATCCAACCCCTGTTCAAGCAGGGACAGTCATCACCTCTCTGATCAACCTGCACCAATGATTAGTCACCCACCCACTGAAGAAGTGCTTCATGATGCTCAGAGAGACCCTCCTGTATTACAGATTGTGCACACTGCATCTTGCCGTGGCACAGGCACAACTGTAAGGACCCTGGCTCTGCCCTGTTTTGCACCCTCTCTTTAGGTATTTATGGATACTGATGAGATCCCTCTGAGCCTCTTCTCCAGGCTGAACAGGCCCAGCTTTCTCAGCCTCTCCTCACAGGAGGGGTGCTCCAGGTCCTTCATCATTTTGGTGGCAGTCTGTTGAACTTTTTCCAGCATGCCCAGGTCTCTCTTGTACCGATGGCCCCAGAACTGGACACGGCACTTCGGCTGTGGCCTTCCCAGCGCTAAGCAGAGAGGACGCATCAGCTCCCAGGACCCACTGGCAATACGTCGTCCACTGCCAATGAGCTTTAATACTTAAGCTCATTTAATCATAGTTAGTGGACTGGGGGAAAAAATGACTGAAGTCATTTGCTTTGCATATTCTTATAAATCCTCTGCCATCTCACAAAGCCCAAAGCAACAACTTTTGATCATGCATATCTCAGAGTTTCACTACAGAAGAGCTAACCTGTATTACTATAAAGGACACAAACAACCCTGGGTATAGTTTTAATACAGAGAACGACGCTCAATAACTGGAAAAGAAAAACTGTCATGGCTCTTTACTCCCCTTGGTTGATTTACTTGCTCCTAAGTCTCAGTCTCCACAGAGGAGATTGTAATAGGACAATCCTAAGCTATATAGGTAGTGTCATCAGGCCCATTCTTTCTTAATTTACCTCCCTGTATGCTATTATTTGTTTTTATCAAACTACCATTAATCTGTTTGACAGTCATAATAAGCATCCAATAAAACTGAAACACTGAAAGCAGGCTAATGCCAGAATTTTGCACTTTTACCAGTCCTCTGTTTCTGCTCACATTACACAGCTTCTTATAAAATAAGTAAAAAACTGGTTGTGTTTTGCACACTGCCATGAGAACAGGTAGCAAGAACATCACAACACTTACCACTCCTGTCTTTCCAAAAGTGCTAGAGTGCAGTTTCCAGGAATATTGTGATCCACCCGCTTCCATATGAAGTAGGTTCTGCTCCAATGGCAAGAATCTTCCTTAGAACCACGTCCTGCCTTAAGCATTCTGCTGGTATAGCTATGCCAATTACAATTCTAAAGTAAACATACTTCATTATTTACTTCTCAAGTTCTTTCCCTTCAGCTCCTGATTCTCCCAGAATCAATTAGACTACATCAGAAAAAGCAAAGTTCTGGAACATGTACCTTCCACAACGTATGTAACTCTTGCAGCTCAGCCACATCGAATCACCAGTCAACCTCACTCAACACAATCTACAGCAGTAAGTGACCACATCACAAATGTCACATAAATGTTGAGTCTGAAAGCAGGTCTGCAATGCAGAATGAGGCACATTTATTTCCTTATTTTAAGACACTATGGAAATAAAGCATTTTGGTTTTAGTGTCAAACCACGACTTTTGTTTATGGGAAGACTGTGATTGCAGAGGCAAGGAAACATCCTGCATTTCACAAGAATCATCTACTACAACTTTGTGAAGAATTCTTTTGAGGCACTAGAAGAAAACTAATTCTCATCTGGAATGGTGCTAGAGCACACAATTGAGATTGATACTCTGATGGGCAGACAATACATAGAACAGCTAGATCTGTCGAGGATGAGAGTTCTTATTAAGAAGAAATTTCAGTGCAGTAATGCAATTTGTAGCTGAATAGTCACTATGGGAAAAGATTCACAAAAGTCATTTGTCCCTCTGAAAGGAATTCGGTTCTCAAAAAGTAGTACTGGAAACTTGCCTGTTGTGCAACACACAATACATCATTCTCCACCCAAATTTTAATCCATGCATTGCAAATACAGAATTTCAGAAATATGCTGGAGTCATGATACTCTGTTTCAGGTTACCACATACGGAAATGGCATGAAGGTCTGTTTGCCTCTTTGCTAACGGCTTGGGAATCTGAAACTCCACAGCAGTAGATAAAAATCCAAGAGTCTTTCATTTACTACAAAAACATGTAAGTAAAACATTGCAAGACACAGTGCTACTTTGATATACAATAATTCAATAAAGATGAGCAGTCCTAGTTATACACAAAGGCTGCACACTGTGTTTTCACCTTTTCTTTCCCCAAGCATAACAAAATGTGACAGTGAATTCATAAGACGAACACACACATAGTCTAAGTACTATGAATTCTCTTTGCCTTCATAAAACAAATGTGAAAAAAGTATTAGTTATATTGTTCTCTCCCATATACCAAGCATTCTTAAAAAAAAAAAAAAAAAGAAGTTATTCCAAATTACCATTACACAGGATACTTCATCTCCCATCCAGATCCACTTTTTAGACTACTGTGCCCACTATATAAAATTGAACAGATTATGTGCCTGGATCTGTAGAATCCATTTCTTGATTTGGAAACACCATACGCTTAAAGGGTTTAACCAAAGACACATTTTCTCTGATTTCTCAGTGTACAGAATCAAACCTGTAAAGCTCTTTTGCAGACTAGAATAGGGAAACAGTGTTCTTCTTGCAGTATCAGAGTGGGGTTGACAGAGATTCAGTGGCAGTGCTCACCTTTTAAAAGCATTTTGAAAAGCACTTAGATTTTTTTTTTTTAATACATTCACACACACTTGATTTAAAAACTTATTGCATTCAGGAGCTCCTTGGGACAGATGCCCTTCTTGATTTTATATGCACCTTCTATTGCTAGATGAGAAGTGTTCATAACTGTGTATGTTGTATGTGCAGGTATATATGCATATACGCAGAACACAGAGGTTCTACACAAGGTTTGTATTTTCTTATAATCCAGCAATGCAGAAAGGAAGAGATTAGTTCTATTACTAAGACACATCCCAAGCATCGTGTTGCCATATACCCTTTCACATACATATTAACACTGTTTATAGGGAGAAAAAAAAAATCATACATTAAATATTGACAACCTTGTAACGTATTAAATACATATTTATTCAATATT